ACATTAATTGTTTGGCTGCCAAAAAAAAACAAAAAAACCCTTAAGAGGAAATCATTTCCTTGAACTGTTACATTACCTAGTGAGCCAGGTGTTAGCAATATTCAAACAGATTCCTTCTGTGCCCATTTCCACAATCAACTATCACCAGAACTGTTCTGACCCCAAACTCTTGCCCATCTTGCCTCTGTGACATCACAAGTCTGTCCTGGGGATCTCTAATTTGGGTCTTGAAATCTCAGGTAACGGGGTGCTGCTCACCTGACAGCCTCAAGGTTAGACATGTCCTTGATATAGATTGAAGGCACTAGAGAGTAGCAAATGTAATCCATTCTAGACATAACAAACTGTTTAAAGATCTTCAGGTCTTGACACAAACCTATCATATCATAGTCCTACATTAACACTTGAGTTTTCTTTTTAGATTATTGCAAAATTGATCGTAGTGTCTGGAATTGTCATGGATACCTTCTGGAAATCTGACTCCATCTATCAATCAGTATTCAAAATGTATTGCCAAATTTTGTTTTGGATAGAATTCAGAATAATTGCTGCACAATGAGAAGGAGAATCCTGACCAATGGTGACACCTTGATTTCTAATGCCCTTATAAAGATCCAGATCTTTATGATTTTTTTTAAATGAGCGAGTCAGATCCACTTTTTGTAACAACCTAATCTTAATGAGATTATTTAAACTGCTCAGTAATTTAACCCTAAACAGGTTCTCTTTTCCAACAACTTAGTTTAGAAAGGTGCATTTCTAAGTCAATAGAGCTTCATTCAACATGTCTCTTTTTTCCTCTTGTTGGGAGATGTAACAAATTACATCAGTGGCATAAGTTCTTTGAATGTCAGAATGTTGAATGATGCATAATTTAGCTGAAATTTCCTTTAAAATCATTTGCCATCTGTCAAATCATTCTTTATATTGTGATAATTTCAACATTGAAAAAATGAAAGTAGAAGAATTTTTATTACATAACTAAACTACAATTCATCCATTACAAAATAATAATTCATTGTTGAACAAGGAAATACTGATCACAATGGTGCAGCATTTGGAAAAACTCAGAAAAATTCAAAGAACCATCACTTTGAGACCTTGAATTGAATTCTTTCTGTTATTTTGTATGAGAGAACATTGCTTATGAACTTAATATGAATTTAGGTGTTGAAAAAGAAGCTGTGTTTTTGAACTCAGCTGGGTCATAGGAACTTTCTCTGCACTCCATTCTAATTTGCAGTTTTGCTATAATAAAAGCCCCAGATATATTGCTACTGTCTAGACATTTTATCTGAAACAAGTGTCCTTCGTAATCCCAGAGGACTTTTCTATTTTATTTCCAGTAAATCAAAGTCTTTGGAGAGCTTTGGTTCTTATTAAGACATACCCTTCACAGTCCACTGATTGCCAACAATGGCAAACCACTGACAGTTCATTTACATATAAGTGATGACTTCCATCAGGTAGTTGGCTCAAAAAAACTACAGTGGACATTCAGGGAGCATATCCAATATTTCTTGCTCTTTGATGAGGCTCAAGAGCCAAATTATTTATAGAAAACTGATTACGCAAAGGTAAAGATTTCTCTTCACTGACCTTATACTGTGGTGGTTTTGGGATGTGTGAAAGATATATAGGTTGCAGTTCTCTACACACTGAAGCTTCTGGGGCTTACATCTGAGTAGAAATGTATAGAACTGTACAGTAAAGGAATATATTGTTAGAGAATAAAATAGAGAAGTAGGACAGGGGTTGATAATCAAAAATGCATACAAGAATTTTGAGATCAAAAAGCACTGATGGACTATAAAATTTTATAGTCCAACACATTTATTTGATGGTATATGCTGCCAGGCAGTAGGACAAAACCAAAATAACAGTATTTACTGCAACAGTAATCCAAAGAAATAAGTAGTGGAGTTTTTTATGAGATGGGTTACTAAATCTTCCTGACATTATTTCTAACCATACAGGAATGATGTGTACAGCACAGATTCAGGAGTTGTGTTTCTGTTATCTTCTGTCCAAATCAGCCTCTGTAAAAATGAAACAGTTTCCACTGCATAGTAGGAATTTTTATCACAGGAAACTGAAGTTAGAACTAAGGTTCCAATCTGGTATCGTTATAATTAATCAGATGATGCCATTTGTTCACCCAGTATTAGTCACTGTCTGCTGAAAAAGGTGATATGTTAGCCTCACGTTCTTTCCTCTTCCTTTCTCGTATTGATGCAGCTACAACAGCTCCAGCAACTCGAATATCAGCGGCTTTTAAAACTGGATGTGCACCCACTGTAACACAAAATCAGCAGATGCATTAGTAAAGAAAGAAAGGAAGAATAAGGATTGATCTCTTTAGATTTCTTGTACAGAAAGGCAGTTCTCTGCAAGCCACTGTTGAGTACATGATTACCAACTATATATTACAACACAGTGGCTAAAATCCTGATGCTTAATATAATAAGTACAACTAGAGTAGGCCATTAAATCAATGGGGATTTGGTGAATCAATTCCTCTTTAAGTTCCATGGATTTAATGGGCCTATTCTAGTATTGACTAACATTGCTAAATAACAGAATTTCAATCGGTCTGTAGTATTAGTTATATTTTTGGCATAGGACTGAGCAAACCCAGGCCTCATAAAACACGTACAATAACAATAAACACACTAACCCACTTTATTGGTTATAGCAGCAGTTTTTCTGGCTCAGCATTGAGAATGGATCCAGTGCATCAAGAGACCTAATGCCTTCCACCATGCATCAGCAGCTCACTGAAGGTTACTGTCAGGGATAGGGTTGCCAGACGTCCAGCAATTGAGGACACGTCCTCCTTTTTAGCCTAATGTCCTCCATCCGGCAGGCAAAGCTAAAAACCTTTAAAATGTCCAGCTTTTGTAATATTTTATGTTATAATTTTGGATGGGAGGTGGAAGGTTGAAAGCAGTCTCTGATGGAGCCACAATCTAAGACACCACTTCGGGCTGTAAATCAGCTACGCCCACGTGGAGCCTTTGCTTCTGGAGGTGACTTCCTGCTTCATTTTGAGCAAGCTGTGCGTAAAGATTAGCAAGGAAAGACACAGAGAGAGTGATGGCCAGAGAAGGGCAGGATCTTTTTTTTTAAGGGAAAAAAAAAGTTAGTGGTTTTGTCCAGAGGTCTTCAAGTGAGCAGCAGGAGTTGAGAAAGAAGAGATGGCAGCAGTGGCTAGAAAAAACTGAGGAAGGCTTGCGGAGAAGAAGTGAAGCTGCAGGGAAGGGGAGGCAGAGCAAGAGCGAGAAGGAGAAAAAGTGGCAGCAGCCGCCGCTCCGCGCCAGGCGCCTGCCAGAGAAAGAGCGAGAGGGAGAAGAAGTGGCAGCAGCCGCCTCAGCAAAAGGATGCGGGAAAGAAAGGGGAACCGTCCCACAGAGCTCGCCTCAGCGCAAGTTAAGGAGCAACAACAGCAGGCGCTGGGATATGTCATGTAATTAATAAAAGATTATAAGGCAATAATTGTACAATTGGCTGTTTAAATAATGTTTTTTGGTATTTTGGAAAAAAAAGCCTCCATTGAATTTAGTTTTATTTTTTAACATGACTGTTTCATGGTCGGGTTCACTAAGAGACATTTATTGGCAGCTATTGTAATAAAATTTTATTGATTGCGGGTTTAATCCAGAACGATTCAAATGAAACCCTCCTCTGTCCTTTTTGTCTATGTTCTCCTTTTGGTACCCATGTATCTGGTAACCCTAGTCAGGGATGACAGTCCCTTGGAAGGCCATATGGGCATACATGACTCCACCTGGGCATAGAGCTGGGCTCTCAGCCCACAAACTAAGCCAGATCACACCGCATCCCCAGCTTCCCTTAAAGGGATGCCTTAATACTCAGTGGCAACAGGTTCCTGCCTGCCACTCCTAACAGGATCCACACCAATGTCCCAACCTCCTACAAAGTTGTGCCAGAATGAATTAAAAAGGAATAAGATGCCATTTTACAATCACCATGCACTCATTACTCCACCAAAAACCCCTTCACCTCCAGAATAACAATCAATAAACATGAACAAACAGGGAGGGAGGGAGGGAGGGAGATCAGGCCAGTGAGCCACAGATGGCCTGGGGAGACTCAGGGCTCCCACCTGTGAAAACTGCTTCATTCCAGACCCCCTTTCTCTGAATAAAAATGACATATGAACCATAACAAATGAAGTTAATCTGCCAAATAAAAAGAGATGAATTTGGATTTGTTAATGCATGGTAGATAGTCCATTTATACACACATTTTTATTTTTATTTTATTTTTGGTTTTGAACTTTTTGCAGTCTGAGTAATGTGCAGAATTCATACTCTTTGCCAGAAAAATCACACTGGTCCTGCAGCCATAAAGAAGGATAATCAAAATGGTGTCTCCAAATGAGAATTCTGTACTACCAAGCATTTGGAATTCTTTGAAGGTGTCAGAATGTAGATTGGATTGGTTAAATCAATTTCCAATTTTAAAAGAAGTGAGCTTTTCAGAAGTTAGCAGGAAACTCCTGAAGATTTCTATTAGGAATGGCATTATTAACAATGAACTTGATGGATCTCTTCTTGGCATCAATTTATTATAGGGTTGGAAAATCTGCCTTTCTCATTTCCTTGCACTTCTGTGAATCCCATCTTCAATTTCTTCCCCTTCTTGTTTCATAGCAGGTTATCAGACTTTACTTGGGGTGGGAGTGGGAATGGTGATGATACATAGAGATGGCTGAAATCCAGTAATAAGAAATGACTAGAGTGGGGATTTAGTGAGTCATCTCCTGCATAATTGATTCGATGGGCCTACTCAAGCTGCAATTTACTACTGGATTTCAGCCAGTGTGTATTTTAATATATTTCCCCTAATGAAAATGTATATGTATTTATAACTCCTACCCAAGGTATCTATTTATTTACATTTTTTCATAATGTGTACACAGATCCTCCTTGACCAAAGTGTGCTTCTGTAAATTTTTTTATTATATGTATTTTCTAATATAGATACTGGTTGAAATGTACTTAATACTTCAACGTGAGACATCCTATCTTGATTGAAACTGAGACAGTGGCAAATTTTCTTTATATCCATTAGAGTGGTGCTCCTAACACAATAGCCCATGTCACTTTTTACCATGGTTTTCCTCTTTCTAAGAGCTCCACACTCAAATGACCACTGGCACCATTGTTTTGTGGGAACTGAGTAACCCACAGGCCTTAGCCTCTGAGAAACCTTGGGATTGTCTGCTGAGAAGTGAGGCGGTGCTGGTTTAAAATGTTGGCCAGTGTCCATCTGCATGCCTCCTGATGGCCAGGACTGAGCAGGAAAACACAGACAAATTCTTAGGATCTGCCACAGAGTTTGGAAATAATTACTTCCAGTAGTATGTTATTTATAATTAAATTTCTTTTTCAATAATAAAGAAAACAAAAAAGGAACATTGCATTACGATTCCAACTTAAGAAAAGACAGTGAACTTCTTTTCATGATAGGATGTAATTTTCTTGCTTTCTTCTATAGTTATGAGTCTGTGGCCTCAAGAAATGATGGAGGAAGAACATCATGTGGATCAAGTGCTAGATGGTACAGTTTCTTTGTGCTCCAGTCTTGTTAACGTTGAGGTACTAACAAGACAAGAGCTCAGAGTGTGCTTTGGCCAACCCAAAACATTTTGCTGTCTGAGGCCAAGTATTTTGGCACGTGACACCAAACATTCTGATAAATGCCTTCCTTGACATTAAAATTACCAAAATGACAAATTAAATAATTAACACATCATTTAATGACATCCAAAATCTGTTTCCTGAGACAGCCATTTCATATTGCCGTAACATTAAGGCCAATCTTGCTTATATAATGGCCTGAAACCTGTAGCGTTCAGCTGTTTTTAAATAGCTGGAAATACTGTAACTGTTATTTATTTTTTAGAACTACTTCAAAATTATAACAGCAACTAAATATGACTGGCCCCTGGAATGATAACTGTAATAATTTACTTTTAAAAAGGAACATTCCACACATTCGTTTCCAGGTATTTCATGCTGCTGGCCCTTTACTTTCCTTCTCTTCTTTCATCCACAACACAGGTGAAAGGAAGTAGTAGAATTCATAAGCTTCTAGCCTTATAAGCTATGATACAAAACACAACTTTTATTTACTCATTTTAAAGTCAACATTTTGCCACACGGATCCAAGGAAGTTTATGCCACATACTCAGGATATCTACTTTTGTATAATCAATAAACTTAGACATATAGAATGTGCCGTGTAAGAATAGCAAGAAATGAAATGTGCGGACTTTTGAGTTAATTAAAAAAAATACACACACATTATGACACAGTTTTCACACAGTTATGTTCATATTTTAGGCACCGTGAGTTGATCCTTAAGCTATGACTCTAGGTGTTTTATATGGAGAAAAAAATTAATACGCTTGAATATATGTTAAGAAATAAGGCTAGAATTCTATTAACCTTAATGCAAGGGAATGCACACTTAGTATGGATTAAGCACATCTTTTAAACTGTATTAGCAAGACAAGAAAGGAACATCTTTTTAAAGCAACCATGATATGCTGAGAAGATACATGCTCATCAAAAAATATAATCAGGAAGCAAAAATTTGAGAGTAGAATAGGAAGGATGTATTTTAGTGTTTAGTGTTACTGCATTTCATATAGTAGCAATTGGTAACATCTATAATTGATGTTACCTTGCAAATATTGCCTGCCAGTCATGCCAGCGCCAGGAGTACTGAAAATCTGACAATTTAAGATACAAATCTATGCACATCAGTTTCTGTGTTAGTAACAATAGCAGAAATTGGGCAAATTTTACTTAGTTTGCATTTCAACAGGAACTATCTTAATGCATACTTTCAGAACTAGCAGACAAAATTATCCTTCTGTTTTCAAACTATTTTGAATTGTGCAGTGCATTTCCCTAGGGTTGGCCTTACAGTTAGACAAAATGGGATGATTGTTCCAGACTGACAGATTCTGGGTAATATTCAAGGTGTCTCTTATACTGGCCTGCTATTTCAAGTGGGATTAGCAAAAAATGTCTTATCACCAGTGTATAAGAAAGGCAGAGCACACAAAATACTTATGCTATGGAAAACTGCCTAAGATGCATGTATTAGGGAATTCTACATGGAGAAATCTGTACATTGTGGATACTGTTTACAAAAATGTGTATATTAGAGGCAACTGTATAAAAAGTTTTCAATGGTTTCCAATGGTTTCATATTCTTTATGATAATAAGAATAATAAGATTTTTTCCACCTGCCTCCC